CGCCTGCTCAAATAAGGCTTTCAGAGGGAATTCGGTCAACACCACAATTGTGTGAGCATGAAAGTAGTGTACCAATTTCCTAGAGGCCATCATTAGCTCCAAAGCAAGTTTTTCCAGCGGCAAGTACCTCGACTCTACCGGTAGCAAGGTTTTGCTCACGTAAAAGATCGGGAGATGCTGGATGCCTTCTACCCAGACAAGCACTGCACTAACTGCATATTGAGAAACAGCCAGATAAAGGTAGAGTTCTTCGTCGAGCTTGGGTGTCACCAAGAGTGAGGCAGAAGACAAATACGCCTTGAGCTTAGCCAAGGCACTGTCACATTCTTCATCCCATGAGAACTTGGACTTCAAGGCTCGAAAGAAAGGGTGGCAACGATTTGATGACTGACTTATGAATCGATTAAGTGCGGTCGCTATACCGGCAAGATGTTGCACGTCCTTTGCCGAGTTGGGTTGCTTCAATTTTTGTATGGCTCTGATTTGTGAGGGGTCCACTTCGATGCCTCGATTGGTGATTAGGAAGCCCACGAATTTCCCTGACCCCACGCCGAAGGCACACTTCAAGGAATTCAGGCAAAGCTTGTGTTGTTTAAGAATGGCAAACATCTCGGCTGGGTCGGACAAATGGTCGGCATGCTGCTTGCTTTTGACCACCATGTCGTCGATGTAAGCTTCCATCGTGCGGCCTAGCAGAGGGGCGAACATCTTGGTCACCATCCTCGGGGAAAGTTGCCCTGGCGTTCTTCAAACCAAAAGGCATGACTCTATAGCAGAACAATCCCCTCGGGGTCGTGAACAAGGTTATCTCGCGATCGGGTGCATGCATGGCTGTCACGACCCCATTCCGCCCCTAGTAGAATGGTGCCATGATGGCCAGTAATCCGAGATTATCAAAGGCCAACTTACAAAGATTCACACACAAATCAGAGTACACATATGGGGCTTACAAGTGCGAAAGCAATATATATAAATCTACTTAGTCCATAAGAGCTGTGCGTAGATCAAATGAAATAACATACATCTTAATAAAGTTTACAACTTGAAAACAATAAAATAAAGTACAAAATACATCTTGATCAAAAGGCTTCTCAAGCCGACATAACAAAAGAAGTAACTACAAGCCAAGAAGCATAATCTTCAAGATGCTACAAAATGCAAATCCAAAACAAAGTTGCGACAACAATTAGGCGCCGCCGCGTTTCTGCTCATCACCTACATATATATAAAAGAGGGTGAGCTTGGATACTCAGTAAATGGTATAAGTAATAAAGGTTTGAATGAATGATATCCGAGATCTTTATCAAAACAATACATATCATAGCTTGTAACAAAACATGAGATGAATCAAATTCATCAATCAAATCCTTCAAAGCTTCTTGGATGTTAATAACATCTACACAATACAAAACGATGACATTCCGGACAAAACAAGGGAATAATCAATCCGGAATCGATTAGACAAATCCACCCATACACTAGACCGTCGGTGGGGGCCATCCGTTCATAGACCATCGATGGCAAAGATCTCTCAAACATGATGCTACATGGGCTTAGAGTCCCCTAGCATGGGAGGACTTTCCAAAAATGTCATCAAAACAAAGCTAATACTTGATACAAAACTAGGGATAATCATCCATACTTGATCAAATACTTTTCAAAACGAAGCAAAGCTTTATCAAAACTTTATAACATAGCTTTATTAAAAATACCACTCACATAGCTCTTCAGACGTCGAGGTCAAGGCAAGGGTCCAAGTCCTACAAATACATGGCAAAGTCTATTGAATACACTCAAGAAGACAAGAAATGATGCTCAAAGATGGATATGAAATGCACTTTCAAGACAAGCTTTATATGAATGCGAATGATCCCAGCGTTTCTTTCAAAACTCGGTCAAGTCAAAGCAAAGCATGCTGGAAGTTAAAACACTGTCTTTTCATCTCGAGGAAAACATGCTGGGTACCAACCAGGTCTTTGCCGAGGTCCCACACCTTTTAGTCGAGGTGTGGTTACCAAGGCTTCAGGGAACGGCTGTCTGCCGAGGTGTTCACGCAAGATGGACTAATGGTGCGAGTGATCATGCAAGGTAGACCAAGGTGAAATATAATGCTTGGCCTAAGTGTGAGATCTAGGCAAGAGTGGTCTCGGTGACCACACCTAGGGAAAGGTAAGGTCTGGAAATCTGGGTTTCCTTCCTTGAAGAACATGAACATGAAGAATATGAAGAACATGAATGCTAAAATCATAATTTGTTATTACAAAATCTGGGATTTCATGCTATGAGGTTGAAAACATGGACCCTGGTACCCACACTTGAAGATTTTATGAAAACAAACACAAAACATGGATCTTAATGCAAACTTTCGGATCAAAACGAGACTTTTCTTTAAGTACTCAAGAACACCATTTTCTCTTTCTAGAACCAAACTTCAAATCAATGCATGGCTTATGAATCATGCTAGATCATGCAATGCAATCAGATCAACATATAGAATAACAAAAGTAGATAAAGAATCCAACCTCAAGACACGGATCTAACGGTTCAAGGTGTGAAGATCAAGCTTAGAAATCTACTACTCTCTCAAGAACTTCTCTTCTTCTTCTTAGAGCTTCTCTCTCTCCAAAGACAAGGATATGACAAAATGATATATTTCTAACTCTGCCGACAGACTTAACCCTCTGCTAGGACACGTGGCAATGGCCGGTTGGCTCTCTTCAAAAAGGTGACTGAATGACAAGACAAGTGCATGACAAAGTGTGTATAACAAGCAAGACGACATGGGCACTCCGGCAGGTAATGATCTCGGCTAAGACAAGACTTCGGCAAGTAAGGGAACAATGATCTCGGCTAGGAAGGATAACGCTTGACTAGCTATGCCACACCTTGGCCTAGATGTGCCACACCTCGGTCTAGGTCATACCAGTCCAGGAACAAGATCACTTTGGTATAACATCTCGGCCTAGATAATATATATCTCGGCCTTGGTGATGAACACCTCGGCCTAGATAATGACATCTCGGCTAATATGCCAGGGCAAAAGTGGAGGTCAACCAAGTGGTTCCAAGATGGTCCTAGGTGTAAGAGGTTTAGAGGTTCAACCTAGGCTTAAGATGACCTCGGCTTGAGACAGCAAGGAATGAACAAAGCATGCAACAACACTTAGGCAAATCATATAAGCACAAAACAAGACAGGGACCTTTACTTAGGCAAAATAAGTCAAAGTCTACAGATGCAAGCTTAACAAGACAAAACCATGCAAATGCACATGAACATGACTAAGATATGAATGTGGGTTATTACAATGGCGATCTGATGATAGCTACGATAGGCATCTAAGAAACTGAGCCAGTTATGTCCAGCTGTAAGATCCACTAGCTGGTCTATTCTGGGCAGAGGAAAACTATCTTTAGGGCAAGCTCAGTTGACCATCTTGTAGTCAACGCAAACTCGCCACTTCTCATTCTTCTTGGGTACTATGACTGTGTTCGAAACCCACCGAGGGTAGTGCACTTCCTGGATTGCCCTAGCTTCTAGCAGGTTCTTGACTTCCTCCACGACTACCTCGACGTAATGAATGGATAATCTCCTCGTTCTTTGAATGACAGGACGTGCATCCGGGAAGACATTAAGTTGGTGGAAAATAAAGCTTGGATCAACGCCAAGCATGTCGTATGGTGTCCATGCAAAGACTTCAATATTCGCCACCAAGAACTCCACCATCTCAGTCCTTTCTTAGGCGGTCAAGCTAGATCCCAGCAAAAAGAACTTGTCAGGATTTTCTGTGTTGATCCGCACTTCCACCAACTCTTCAACAGCCTTTTCCTCGGCCCTAGTGCCCACGTCATCCAGGACACTTTGGTCTTCCGGACCTTTGATCATTTGCATGAAGCCTTTGGCAGCTCGGTTCCCATTCACTGCCACGAAACACTGCTTCGTCATGACTTGATCGCCTTAAATCTCCTCAACTTCCCCCGTAGATGAGGGAAACCTCATGACCTAGTGGTAGGTTGACGCTATCGCCTACATGGCATGAAGCCATCCCCTACCAAGGATCAGATTGTATGTGGACGACACCTTCAATACCCAGAGCTTTACCTACTTGACCACGGATCCGGCTTTGACCAGTAGGATTATCTTTTCCATTAGCCACTCCGGTTGTGAGTTAAAACCAACCAGTGGCGAAGTTGCTAGAACCAAGTCTGTATCTCAGAGTTTGAGCTTCTTGAAGGCGTCGTAGTACATGATCTCGACCGAGCTGCCTTGGTCGATTAAGATGCGCTTAACATCTAAGTCCCTGATGCGAAGGGTGACCACTAGGGCATCATTGTGCGGCATTTGAATGCGCTCAAGATCCCTACTTGATATGCTAATTATATTTTTCTCCTCGAGCTTGCCTCTTTTGATTCGCGGGCTGGATTGACAAACCTTTCCTCATATGTTCTGCCTTTTTGATCATCCCTCAGAGCTCACATACCTGCGTCAGCTCTACTATACCGTGGATCACATTGACCACTCCTTGGAGAGGTGCCGCTAGGTCATCCGAACCACTTGGCTTAGCTGGTGCGTAGTGCGCGGCCCTGACGCCCCCATCGATGTAACGGTCCAAGTGACCGGCTGCGACTAACTCCTTCAAGTGTTACTTTAGGGGCAAACAGTCCTCCGTCTGGTGCCCTCACTCCCTATGAAATTTGCAGTGGTACCGCGGATTGAAGCCCTTTTGCGCATCGCCTAACTTAGCAGCAAATCGGAAGTAAACCTTGTTGCGAATTTCACTAGATATGCTGTAGATTGGAATTTTAAAAACCGCGGTGATGCCCATCCAAGCGTTCAACTTTCTGTTTGCATCGGCTGCATCATCAAGGGGATAATCTGCTCGGTCATTGCGGCGACTTTTACCCCGACTTCTATGATTCAGACCATGGTCGGATTCCCTTGCATGGTCATTTGGACGAATTGTCTCCTGTCCGACCTCATGTACTTTTCCAGCCACCTTTTGTCTATTGCCACCAGATTTGTCTTCGCGGTGGCACCGCCGCATCATCCTCTACTCGGATGTGTTCATTGATACGTTGCATCAGCTGCCCCATGGAAGTTGGTTGGTTCATCGTGAACGAGTCCCTTAGTCTGTGTCCGACCGAGAGACCGCGCTTATATTGGGTGATTGCCAAGTTGGTCGGGCAATCTAGGATCTTGTTGAAGGTTTCCCAATACCTGGCGTTGTATGCTTTGAGGGAGTCGCTCGACTCCATCTTGACGCTCAGGTGGTGGTCCACTTCCTTTGGAGTTTTGGTGTTGGTTTTGAATCGAGTCACAAATGCTTCCACCAACTGCTGCCACCTTTTGATGCTTTCCTCCGAAAGCCTCTCAAACCATTTCAAGCCCAACTCACCTAAACTCGATGGGAAAATAAGGCACATGAGAGCATCATTACGCCTGTGTCCAGCCATGACCTGCTGGAAGTGGCTTACATGCATGTACGGATCGATTTTCCCATCATAAAGCGTAAACTTGGGCTGGTGAAAGCCCGCTGGGAGCGGTGTGGTCTCTATCTCAAGGGAGAAGGCGGTGACGCTCAGCCTCGCTAAATCTTTGTCCAAAGGGACAAGCACGGCTGAATGGGGTGGCGGCATTATGACTTCCTCACTGGCGTGACCACCGTAGGATAACCGCTGGAGCGCCAGCACCCTTTGAACCTCCCGTCAGCGAGCTCGTTCCCTCAAGACGTCCCTCAAGTCCTCCGAACGAGCGAGGTAGGAATATCTCGATGTCGTCGGATGACGTAAGGGATGGTAGCTACTATCTTGCGCGCTAGACTTCTCTGCAGGCAGATCTTAGTCTCCAACTCCATATCTTCTGGTGATGGAAATGAAGGGCGTATGCCGCTGGTTCTGGCTGCCTGAGCGGCGGGGTTGGGTGCGCTCATTGTGGTCACCCACTCCAGCAACACCCTTCCCTTTGACTTGCCGTTTGAGAGCTTCCATCTCTGTCGTCATTCTCTGGATGACGGCGTCTTGGTCCCTCAACTTGTACTCTAGGCGTTGAGTGTGCGACTCTCTTCGCCGCCGGTGTCCGTCTGGACTCCACAAGTGACCAATGCTCCTAGCGCGCTTATCTCGTGCACCTTTAGGAAGTCCTCCTGGGGAAGTCTCCAAGCCCGCCATGTTTGGAACAACGGGAAGTCCGTCTTTCCGTCGGATTGACTCTGGGGTAATACCGTCGATGGCAGACAATGGTACTTCGTCGTTGTTTTCCATGGAAAGTGATCTGATGAGCTTGAAGGGCAAGGTTGTGGCTGCTCAAACTTTCCACAGACGGCGCCAATTGTATGGGAGTCAAATATCCGTTATCACCTGTACTCCTTGCGTCCAAGCTGCGCCTTCCTCCGATCAACCTGCAAACACAACGAAGGTGAGCTATCCGGCGGTGCATTGCCGAAAAATCCCTCCGACGGTCAAGTCAGCACACACTCAGAGAGAAAGAGAGGAGAGAGAGGACAATGTGTTAGTTTCTCTCACCAGAAGATGTTTCATCCCTAGCATGGGGGCGTAGTCACGTTTATATACTTTCTGCGCGCACCTCCGCGACCATTCACCCTTTGACACGCGGATCTGCTCTCCTATCCCATTTTTCCACGTGTCAGCGCAAATACAGCTAAACACCACTTAACTAAAATGCCAAGCGGCGTTGGCATGAATGGACAGCCCGATAGCGCTGCCCCATCTCCCCACGATCGTACTACCTCCGAGACAAGCAACGCTTCGAGCCTAGCTCCATTATGACCGAGCTTAGCAGTTCTTCGTCATGACTGAGCTCTTGCTCGGTTGGGCCGGTCTGCGGAATATCTTGCATACCGATTGCAACGATAAAACAACACAAACCGGGCTGACAGAGAACTTATCCTGGCCAAATCCGAGATGGGCTTTAATCGAGCGCACTCCCCCTGGATTGGCCCAATTCAGCTCGGCCCAAACATGCTCGGGCCAACTTTAGCCCAGTCATTACCACGGCCCAAAGTTGAGTTATGAAATCTCCCTGTCACTTTTATGTATATTGTTATTTATTGGATAATATCATATTTTATATCTATAAATATTAATATTCAAATTCTTATATTGTGACGTTTCAATTGATATTTAAAACATCACGAGACAAGGAAAATATTGGTATAAGATTTCAACTTTTGGTGTGGGGCTAGAATTGCATTGAATATTATCGATAAATTTTGAATTTTGAATATTTTTTAAAATAAATATTTTTTTGGGGTAAGTAGAATTGTTGATGCTGGTATGATGCTCTCAACGATGGGTCAATGACCAAACCTTCTTGTCAAAGAAGGAACTATTTAATCACCATTATTATTTGGCCCTAGAAAGAAACCATTATTGTATTTGGCCATTTCCTTTTCTTTTATAGATCATCTGTTTCCTATAAAATAAAAATAAAAAAGTGTTCATATTAACTGTTATCTTGATTACCATTAATGCTATATGAACATAATAATAGGAAAAATTCAAATTAAATAAATTAAGGAAAATTAAAGTTGTAGTCCCTATAGTTTACCTGTTTTATCATTTTGGTTCCTATTGTTTTAATTTGATCAATTTTACGAATTGTGTTATATTAGTCCAATAAATAACGGAGATAAAGTTTGATGGACGGAAAATCAAATGATGTGTTAATTTGGCTCCTTTAGTTTACAGGATGTGTTAACTTGATCCCTATTATTTTGACTTTCCTATAACTATAGGGACCAAATCAACACATTCTATAAATTACATTGAACAAATTAACACATCATTTGATTTTCCGTCCATCAAATTTAACTGTCGTTATTTATTAGACTAATATGACACAATCCATAAAATTCAAGGGTAGAATTAATCGAATTGAAACAATAGAGACTAAAATGATAAAATGGACAAATTACATGATGATTTGCATAATTTACCCATAAATCAATGAATCAAACATAACTCTCATTAAATGCATGAATCCCATCCGATTTGACAAAATTTTTGTAATTAAATAATAAACGGTGATGATAAAATGGAGCAAACCTTACCTAACCATTATTGTATAATAAAATTTTCACCTATTCTGAAATAAATAACATAAAACATGTTAATATATTGGTGAGTGTTTATTTTTTATTTTTTATTCATTTCTTATTTATTATTACTTTCTTATTTTTTTATTTTTGTCATGTATGTTTTTAACCTGAAAATGACTAATTAATACTATTTTTTATGCACAATTTTAAAGTATGGGTGATATAAGCAAAGAGGTAAATAGAGCAGTCATTGCTAAAAGTCTAAATCACTAGTCTTTTATTCACTGATTAACAAAGCAGCACCGTAAAACCTTATTGAGTGATTTATAGTTAATTACTAATCTAAGTGTTTCCCGTTTTAATTTAACATTTTTATTGACATAAAAAACAGGATAAGATCATGGAGACTTGCTCGGTCGAATTAATTTTTCATTAAAAATATCATTGATTTCTTGTTTGTAATATTTCATTAATTTTTTATCCATTTGAATTGGTCGAGCTTTGATAGAGATTTGCCGTTTATTGAAATCTTTTTCATCTGGCAAATCAACCATATGTTGTTTACGGTGCCAGAAGACATGAGATAGTTCAAAACATAAATCATTCTCAAATAAAATTGGATTTTTTGAATAATAGATTGAACATAAGGTTGTTGTAATTCTTGGTCAACAACTTTGTAAGGAATTTCTTTTTGGAGTAAACAAATTTGTTTTTTGTTTATAAATAAGATTTGTTTTAAGCGTATTGATTTCATATACTTGTGGAGGAAATAAGAATTTGAAAATTATGTCATGACTAATAAGGGTAGTCGAAATACCTTCATTTGTGACAGTAAAAGGTGCAATCATGGTTAAAAAAAGAGTTCCTAAGATAATTAATTTGACATATTTTTAACTAATAAGAATTCAGTATTAAGACATATATCTTGGTTGCAATTTGTGCATGAGATATTTTACAATTAATTTCCATTGAGCCACCATTAGCAGTACTGAGAGATTGATCAATTTTTTCGAAATATTTGAAAGGTACAAGACCTCGAATACAATTGAGATGAACACCAGAGTCAACTAGCACCATTGTGGTTAGGATGAAATAATGAATTACCACTTTAATTTCAATATACCATTTTTGAAATGTGATGCTATTGAGTAAATTGATACAATCATTAATAACAAGTGATTTTTTGTCTGGTTGTTTATTGGATGATTCTTGCAGATGTGGTTCATAAGGGAATGTCATATCAGCCAGGAAATCATCTGTATCGGCGGGATTCTCTTCTAGGGTTAAATCTCTAGATTGGAGATTTTGGATATCAATCTTAAGAGTACGAATTTCATTTTGTAAATCTTGAATTGTGGGTGTGTTTAAGGGAGTAGGAACTTTGTTGACTCGATCAAAAACATCTTTGAAATCATATGTATCATATTTTAATTCTTGCGTGGTATGATTTGTTGAAGCATTTCTTTGTTTTGAATTGGAGTATTTAAACATGGCTTGTTGCTTTTTTTCGGGAACATCAATGCTATCAATAAATTCAAGAATCATTTTTTCTTGGGCAATGAGAACATTAATGCTAAGACCATTCATTTCTAAAATAACTTTATAATAATTAGTGGTTGATTGGCAATGGCATTCATGAGAGGATTCAGGATGGTCATCTGGTTCTTCATCAGATGAGGTAATAATATCATTGTCTATTTCTTTTAATAAGAAATCACCATCAGATGGATTATCAGAAGAGTTTTTAGATTCTTATTGAGGTTCTTTGTCTAGGAGGAGGATAGATTCTAATTGGGTTTTAAGTTCATCAGAAGTATCTGATGCATAAATTTTTTTTTTTTTTAGTAAGACACTTATTGGCATAATGACTAGGATTACCACATTTCCAACAAGTGGCAGATTTTTTTAAGGAACTTAGGTTAGATTTAGAAGTGGATGTATTTATATTATTAGAAAATTTTCTCTTTTTTATAATAAGGTTTCTTTTTGTAATTGAAAATTTTGTTGTATTTCTCGGATATGTATTTTCGAGATTTACGAGTAGGAATTTTTTGGGAGGAAGATCCGGTGACGGGAGAAAGGATGGAATTGTAACCAAATTGGTAACAAAATTGACCAAGTTCCGTACATCCAATGATTCGCTCTTTTTTCAATTGATTTTTGAGCTCAATATCATTGCATAAGGAAAGCCCTTCAGCATAAATCTCATATATGAGTTCACCAAAGGTATATTGATTATATGGAATTTGACCATTATGTTTAGCACGGATGCGGGTTTTAACCTTTTCTACAAAAAAGTGTTGAAAGACCGGCAATGAAATGTTGTTTCCAAAAATCTTGGTTTGAATTTTTGTAATTAAATAATAAATGGTGATGATAGAATGGAGCAAACATTACCTAACCATTATTGTATAATAAAATTTTCACCTATTCTGAAACAAATTACAAAATAAGTTAAAACATGTTAATATATTGGTGAGTGTTTATTTTTTATTTTTTATTCATTTCTTATTTATTATTACTTTTTTATTTTTTTATTTTTGTCTTGTATGTTTTTAACCTGAAAATGACTACTTAATA